TTGGGAAAAATACTTAGACAGAAAAGGATTAAAGTACCTATTTTAATGATAACACTTTATACAAGGAAAACGGAACTGTTGCATTAAAAAATTAGCAAATACATCAGCGTTTCTTAGAATCTCAGAAATTCGTCGTCACTGTTGCCAAAATCATAGTTATTTTCACTTAGGTTGTCGCCACTTTCCTAAAACACAATGTCATCCTTATTTCCACCGAGTGCACTGCTAATTCCACACTTTTTAAAAGATTTATGGTAGAATAAAATTGGATAAAGGATAAATGTATTTTTCAGTATTAACTTCATTCTAAAGAATTTTCTGCAGTCTAGTTTGCGTTATTTTATTCATAAGTCTCAAATTAAAAACAATTTAATGTTTATATGTCATTAGAAAATTAACCAAAAAGCAGCGACCACAATGTAATTGAAAAACAGTCCTTAGACGTGAAAAGGTTGAAGGCCATTTGGGTTAAGACTATTTTCTCAGATACTCAGTTACTTCGCATACATTTAACATAGCATTCAAAATGAAAAACTCAATATTTACTACAAATTCATTGATGTAACAAATATCTGTCTTTCTACTCCTACTTTAAAAAAAAGATGTTATTTGCCTTACAGTTTATAGTTCAATAATACATTTTCATTGTACAAAATTGCATTCATTCGAAGAATTCAATTTGTATTTTCCTCTGTATAAAAACTGAATGTAGAGAAGTTAGATGTTTAAACGACCCCCCACATTTTCTCAAGACCACGAGCAAGATTATCCTCTCCTTTTCATACCCCCCCCCGTGAAAAAAGGGGTTCTAAATTTACGACCTGACCGCATATCGGGTGATTTCGTTAGGAGGTGTTGCCCCTCCCCACCTTTCCTCTCCAGCTCATCCATCAATGCCTTGTTACCCATCCGTCAATCGTCAGGGATAGTATCATACGAAGAAGTTCGAGTTGGGAATTCACGCTGTGAGCAAGTTTAAACCTAGGTAATACCATACTTACACCGACTACATACGCAGACGTTGTTCATTACTCACAATGACCCTTCTGCGCATCTAGTACCAGATAACGGTCATTTTCCATGTGTCTAGAAAGCCACGTGTTATGTATCATCTACACATTCCATTTTCGTATTTACTGAGTCACTGAGTGGTTGGCGAAGAAAATTTTCGATGCACAATAACCTTACTACTATTGGAAAAGAAAAGTCCATTTGATGAAGTACGTTCTTATTTTATTTTACTTAATATAATTTCTATTTATTCTTATTTTATCGTTTTTATTATAGTTTTATTTAAAATGCATACAGTGAAATACGGCTTTTTTTCCTTGAAAATTTCTGTGAGGGTGGGAAGGGGGGAACGGATTAGCCCTTTCTATCAGGGAAAATTTGACCATTTTGCCATATGTAAGAATGAACATAGGCACCAACTTTTCATTTTCTTCACGGGAGTTGGAGAGGAGGGCAAGATTTGCATGGACGAAAACGCAAAAGTCTATAGAGCAGTGCTTCTCAACCTTTTTTGGTCCGCTGACCGGTAAAATTTACGAAAAAATTTCGCGGACCAGTGTGTTTTTTCCCTCCCCCCAAAAAAACCCAAAACAACAAAGTATTCAAGAATTACTACATAAGTTTTGTAATATTCTTATTACCATTTGCCTACAATCATATTTAAATATATGTGCCTTTCGTTTCCTTCTTACTCATCCTGGTTATTGATTTTTAATCTACCTATAGCACATTAAATTCCATGGTTTGAAATAGTAGTTATAGCACATTAAATTCCATGGTTATTAAAAACTTACGCTGATGTATAGTTTTCAGTTGTCCAAGCATGCAAAAGAATGTAAGCAAGATGAAAAACGAAACTTAACCTTGACGCCTTAAACACTGTGATAGATATTCATCGTTCAAGTAATCAGCGATATTCAAGGCAGACAGGAGCACACTAACTGGTGTACTAAGTGTACGGCACGGAGGCGATTAGGTACCTAGTTGCCAGGTTGTTATATTTTTCATCAACGATCATATTATTTTATAAACTAGTAAACTATTGTTATTGTAATGAATGTGGGTGCTGTTGTAATATCGGTAATTTCGGTTTTGGACAGATAGCTGGATATTTCGCTATCTGGACACTGGTATAAAGAGTTTATTTTCTATTTCGGGGGGGGGAGGTTGCCGGTGTTTATAGTCTATGTCCAAATTCTCAACATTTATACAATTTATTTAATGACTAGACTCCCCAATTAAGCATCTTGGTGTGTTCGCGCACGCTTTTGTACAGAAAGACAAAAGGCATATAAAAAGCCGCTTGAGGAGCTTACCCTAGGCACGTTGGCTGAGATGCTCGAAGTAAAGAATTGAAGTTTTATATTCAGTTATTTTCATAAAAACGTTGAGAATCTTTATTAGATTTTTAATACTAAGTTGGCTTCTGGGGCTACACCCAAGGACAACTAGATATCTACAGGCCTACTCCATCGATTTGTGACGCCACAAGCGAAGGCGATCGACACATATTTATGTCACTTTTTATTTCAAACACAAAAGTCAAGTGAAATTAATTTTTACAACTTAATATTTTGAATTTTAGGATTAATAACTTGCTATATTATATCGTAATATTTAAATACTTTTCTACCGATTTATCAAACAGAAGATAAAATAAGATTTGAGCGATATTATAAATTTAGCGAAGCAGAATTAAATAAACTGAAACGTATCTGAACATTTATACGGCAATAAAATTTGAAAAATTAAACGGAAACATATGCACAGAAAAATATTTATAAAAATTATACAATTAATATCAATGAAAATATAACACGTATAATTAGCTCAACACAAGATGATTTTCATTTCGTAATAAAAAGAAGAAAATGTATCTTAGGCTCTCCGATTAATCTATATTCGCTTAAATTAAGCAGACTGATTTATACTGCTTAAATATTAGAAAACGTATATAGTATTTCTTAACAAAATTAATATCAACACGTTAATTCTAATATAATAAAATATTGCTTTATAATTATGTTTTTCTGTGCAATGATATTGAAGAAAAAGGGGCTATTTCTTTTCTTTATTCCCTTAAAGATTTTTCAATATTCAATCCGAGATCCTAAGATGCTTTCTAATAATAAATACACAAATGGACATTAAGTGAAATACCTAAATCGTATTAATATGTTATCATAGTTACTAGATCTTAAGCTGAATCTACTATCTCTGTGAGTTATTCAGAGTCAGCTCTTATTTTTATTTCAGTTCATAGTTTATATTTTTACTATTCTTCTCTGTATCCCAAAGCGTGGGAGCACCTGTGTTCAGTAGTTAATAAAGGAAAATTTAACCCTTCTCATCTTGTCTTCTGTTCTACACTTCGTAAATACATAGGTTGTAGTCAACCTCCCAGTCCAGTCAGGACTCACTATGTTTGCGAAACACATGAAAAGAAACACAAGTCCTGATAAGCCTTTCTCAGAAGACTGCATTTTAAGCAAACTAACTAATTTTTGTTTTCTTTCCGACTCTATAATCTGCTGTAAAGATACGTGATAATTACAGCCACTCATTTGTCGAAATTGACCTCAAGGTTATCTGTTTGAAATTTTCCTTAAGAATAAAAGGTAATTTAAATCTTTTATTCTTTCCCAGACTATCAAACAATATAAATATAGGAAGACTATGCATTGTTCGGTTTTCAAATGAAGATTTTAATGTAACACCGAAAAGCATTTCAAACATATTCCTGTTAATTCTATTATTGTCTGGTATTAGAGCTATAATTCGATAGCCACAAGACTGTGTAGAGACATTAGTTTAATTGGAAAAAGCCGGAGAGATGAAAAATTGGCAACCGCCAATTAGCCACGGTCCTCTGCAATACCGGCCCAGCGTGCAGATCCACTACACCACGAAGGCACCGTAGGAAAATAGGAGACATATCTTATAACTGTACGTAATCGAGTACTTGTTTTGTAAACATTATAAGGTATTTCTCCCGCCTTCTTAGCATGCCTTCGTATCATAAATGTTTGCATAATTCCTAAATTTAAAAAAATTAGTAAATCGAAACTTATTAAATTAAAAACAACAATTTTAATAATTCTTAGTGACTTCCTTGGGCCTGTCTTGCAGAGCAAAGTTTTTTCGAAGGAAGGTTTAATATTAGAAATAGACACTCTCAGTTCTTTTTCTATATTTAGCTGAGATCTATATTTTGTCTTCAATGAAGCCACCGCAGAAAATCCAGTTTCACAAAGGTAGGATGTTGAAAATGGTAATAAAATGCGAAATACCCTTGTTTTTAGTGCAGAGTTTAGACTCATCATTCACTCCTGCCCAAAATTCAAAGAGTGATTTATTACTAAATTGTCTTTTGGTTTTTCCACTTGTCGTGAAGTCTATGAAGGTTTCTTCTTCTCTCGGCAATTGAGAGCCCTTCGGGAGTATTTTGAAATGGATCTCTAACCCACTCGTAACTTTCTATCAGTTTGTCGTCAGCAAGAAAGTAATTTTTAAATTCTTTGTCAGCATGGCTAAATGATTTTCAATGGTTACATAAAAAATCACTTTTACATGTTGTTCTTCGGCCTTGTAAGTTTTAATACAATCATCCACATTTTTACACATTGTTAGGTTTTTTTGCTTTACATTTCTGATCCACAATTCCAATTTTCTACAAAAAGTATTAACTTTATCATTCGCATCCAATATATGTGCATTTGCTCCTTGCAGTTAAAGATTCAAGTTATTTAATTTCTCGAATATGTCGACCAAGTAGCTGAATTTCATCACAAATAAACCATCGCGAAAATTCTCGGCTTCCGGTCTTTTTTCCTCTTGTAGGCAAATAGCGATTTCATCTCTTAATTCATAAACACGTTGCTAAAATTTCCCACGTGATAACCATCTTGCCTCACAATAAAATAGTAACGCTGAATGTGCTCCGCCCATGTCTTTACAAAGTACGGAAAAGATTCTTGATTTCAAGGGTCTCATTTTTTATATAATTTATTACGGTTACAACGGTAGTTAACATAATATTCAGACCAGGACTCATTTTTTTGGAAGCTAGAGCTTCCCTGTGGATCATGCAATGTGTCCAGTTGCTCTGGCGATTTTTGCTTTACAAATGCTTGTATACTTTGGAATCTTCCTGACATTGAACGAGCACCATCCGTGCATATTCCGACGCTATTTTTCCATTCTATATTTGCTTCGTTCATAAAATTATTTAAGGTAGCAAATAATGCGTGTACTGTTGCTTTGAGTTCTATTGGTTTGCAGAAAAGCAGTTCTTCTACTATTGGCATATCATCACAAAATCGAACATAGGCAATGAAATGAGCGTCTTTATTACTATCTGTTGCCTCATCAAAATGTATTGAAAATAATTTGTCACGCAACTTCGAGAAAAGCTGACACTGTACATCTTCGGCTATATCAGTAATTCGACGGCCAACAGTATCATTTGAAAGAGGTATGGACTGCAATTGGTTTGCAAAATTATCTCCAAACATAGTTTCTATAATCTCAATTGCTGCTGGAAAAATATGCTTTTCACCAATGGTGTGAGGCTTTTTACATCTGGCTATTTTACACTGGTGTGCAAAAATTAAGGACGAAGTCGAAAAATTAGCATATCAGCTGAACGAAGAGGCAGAGCGGACAGAAAGACCAATCAGGAGATTAAGTAAGGTGATGTACGGTAGCACATGCGCAGATATGCAGGTAGACGTAATGGGGGAGTGTCTGAGTAGTATAAAGCATGTTGTCGGTGTAAGATCAGTATTTCTGGAAAAGAGATTGCACGCCGTATAGCAGTTAAAATCACACCGAGTTGCTGCCTCAGCGAGAAATGGCGAATAATCAATCTGTTAGACGACATCTGGATGCTTTTACCCGAGGTCGAATCATTGGGAAGTTGGAGGAAGGCTGCAGTGTGACAAGTGTGGCTGCAGAGTTCGGAATTGCTCACAGCATCGTTTCACGACTTTGGAGACAATTTCAAACTACAGGAACAGCTATCCGGGGGTTTAGTTGTGGTCGTCCACGAGGAACCACACCCGCAGATGACCGGTATATTGCCTTACAGGCTAGAAGAAACAGGCGGCAGACAGCGGGAGAAATCGATAGACACACGACACAGGCGACTGGACGACCGATATCGCGTTTTATCGTGGCCAGAAGACTGCACGGTGGTGGCCTGCTTGCACGACGCCCTGTACGGTGTGTACAGTCGGTCACAAAAGTATTCGAACACCGGTACCCTATCAGAAAATGACAAGATGGCGTTTTTTTTCTCTTTCTCTCTGTGTGTCGTGTTATTCCATCCTAGGTTTTCTTCTTCCCCCCCATCTTGGAAAAAACTGGAAAAAATTGGTTACGATCTCTTTTTGAATGGGGAGATGCCATTTTGAGAAAAGCTGACGACCCTATCTTGGAGAATGAACATGACCGCTCTACACACCCTTTTACTCTCTCTCTCTCTCTCTTTTTTGAATTGGGAAGCCATTTTGGGAAAAAGCAGACGACCCTATCTTGGAGAATGGAAATGAACGCCTCTCCCTCTCTCTTTGAAATGGAAAGCCATTTTGGGACCCTCTATTCTTGGGGAGGGAGAAAACTGAAGTCTGCACTTCGCTGTCTCTGAAAAGCGGACCCTCTTCTTCTGATCTTGAAGAACTGAAAATGAACGCTCTACACGATCTCTCTTTGAATTCAGAAGGTATTTTGGGACCTTCTAATGTTGGAAAACTGAAATGAACGCTCTACGCATTTTCTCTCTCTCTCTCTTTGAGATGAGTAGCCATTTTGGAGGATTCTCCACCATCATCCTAACCTTGGAAAACTGAAATGAACGCTCTACACCTTCTCTCTCTCTTTCTTTCTTTCTCTGAAATGGGTAGTCATTTGAAAACTCCCTAACTTTGGAAAAAAACAGAAATGAACGCTCTACACCATCTCTCTTTGAAAATGGGGGGTGTCATTTTGAGACCTCCCTCCCCTAAACTTGGAAAACAAAAACTGAAATGAACGCTCTACACTTTCTCTCTTTGGACATGGGTAGCCCTTGGGGACCCTCTCCTCTTGGTAGGAAAAAAAAAGAAACTGAAGTGAAGGCTCTACACAATCTCTCTTGGAATGGGATCCATATTTCGGGAAAACGTGGATCACCTCATGCTGGAAAACGGAAGTGAACCACCAAGATTGGACTCTATATAATATTTTTTTTAATTGAATGAATCATGACCCTCCTCCCATTTGTTATTAAAAAAATTGTTTTTTTTTTTTGTTTTGGTTTTTATCCCATTTCCGATGTGATTTCAAAATGCAATTCCATAACAGTTCAATTTCATTCGAGGTTAAAT